GGTGCCAAGTGGCTATTGTAGCCTCCTCTCTCTGAATCCAGAGAGTGTGAGAAATGGAGCCACAGTTGTGTGTTTCAATTATGGGAAATATTTCCAGGGTAACTAATCAGTGGAGTCCCTGGGTGGTGCAAATGGTTAAGGGACTTGGCTGCTAACTGAAAGCTTGGAAGTTTGACTCCACCCAGAGGTACCTTGGAAGAAAGGCCGGGCAATCTACTTCCAAAAAATCAGCCAACTCTACGGAGCACAGTTCTACCCTGACACACATGGGGTTGCCGTGAGTTGGAGTTGACTCAATGGCAACTGGTTTTTGTTTTTGAAACTAACCAATGGTCTCTTTTCTAAAACAAAAACACCAACAATTTTGTGTTGAATTTGTATTAAAATTACCAATAATTGATATCAGAAAATGCTTTTAGGCTTTTCCTGCTCTGTGTGTGTGGTGTGTGTGCATGTATGTGTGGTGGAGGAGCACAGATGGAAGGGTAGATATTTTGCTACAAAATCATTTTGGTCATAACCTACAAGAAAAAATATACTTACTTCTTGATGCAGTACACATATAATACACAAAATTGGCTGAAAGTTTCGTGTAACATTACTTCCTGTTACTGTAAGCAATATGTTCTGATTTTTATATTCTGGTTTTTTTTAATGTTGGCATTATCCCATCCAGCTAATTTCCCAAATCACTAGTGGATTGCATTCTACAACTTAAAAATCATTTTATAGCCATCAGTTAGATTGACTAAAAGAAGAATTTGTCACTAATCAGTGGGTTTGGGACAGGGCATCCAGGGCTGGAGTCTCCACAACACAGACTGAGTAGGATGGGTCACACCATACTCAAAGTACAGTGCTCAGCAGCTTGGTTTGGGTCTGGACAGGTGTCTGAAGAAGTTGGTGTAGAGGCAAGAGTCAGGGTCAACTTTTGAGAGCCGGAGGGATGCTTGACTGTGATCCCATTCAGTAATAGGGGGACAAGGGCTGAAGATCTCAGCCAGGCTTAGGGCTCCAGCCAGTTAGGGTGCAGTGTGAGGCCAGGAAGAGCTCCTGGGTAGTACAAATGATTAACGAGCTGGGACTGGTGGTCACTTCTGAAAAATCAGCTGTTGAAAACCCTATGGGGCACAGTTCTACTCTGACACACACGGGCCATCATGAGTTGGAATTGACTCAACAGCATCTGGTTCAAGAGGTGAGACTAGGAGGGAGGACAGGAAGGCTAATGAAGGAGCTAAGGAGAGGAGGGAGGGGCACAAGAATGTGGGGCCTTCGACAGCAGAACTAATTGCAGTTCCCACTTGCTGGCGCTTGAGCAGCTGAGCACAGCCGTATCCTCCCAGGATTGGCTGGGGACCTGGGTGGATCACTAAGGACATCAGTGACTTCAGCCGGGTGGGGCAAAGGAAAAGCAGGAACTGATAGTTTTATCATTTCCATCCTTAGAGCTACTCTCCTCTTCCAGAATTAAAAGATTCCTGGCTGATGGCTCCAACTGAGAGCTCTCTTCTGCCCTGTCATTATATTCTAACCCTTGTGCAAGAAAAGGGGGCCACTTAAACTCAATTTGGCCAGCTCGATTCTTTCTGACTCTGGTTGTGTGTGTGGCTAATGGAAAGAGCCTGTGTTTTCTAAGGAGTTTAACCACAGGGAAGTTTGGAGACTCACATAAACACAAAAGAATGTATTTCAGAAAACAAATCAGAATGTGATTCAAAGTTCTTACTTTGCTCCTACTCTTTGCGTGTTGGACCCTTAGAGGTGATTGAGCAGTAATGTGAGGGCAAATGCGAGGTTGTTTGCAAAATCCCTCCTGGAAACACGCAGTGAATGCAATGAAAGAAAATCTCTTGACTTCTTACCATGTTCCAGAAACTGAAGCAGGCACAGGAAAAACAAATAAGAAAGAAGAAATTCTGGAGCTGCCTCTGGCAGTTCTCTTCTGCGACTAGTAGTGAGGACTGGTGGCTTTGTCTCCTCATGGTCTAGTGAACCTTTCTCCAAAGCCAAGTCACAGAAGATGGTGTGAGAGGACATTGACTCTGATTTTGAGTGGACCCAGGTGTACTGGGAGACAGTGGTAGTTCGGTGGTAGAATTCTCTCCTTCCATGCAGGAGACCCGGGTTTGATTCCCAGCCAGTGTACCTCACCTGCAAGGTATATCGTCAGTGTCTGTCAGCGGAGGCTTGTGTGTTGCTATGATGCTGAACAGGTTTCGGTGGGAGCTCCCAGACTAAGAAGAACTGGGAAGAAAGGTCTAAAGTTCTACTTCCAAAAATTAGCCAGTGAAAACCATATGAATCACAATGGTCCAATGGCACAGGACCAGCATCATTTTGTACTGTTGTGTATGAGGTCTCCGTGAGCTGGGGGAGCTGACTTGGCCACTAACAATAACAACAAGTTATTGAATTGCTCTTCAAGCAGAGAATTCTATAGGACTTTCTTCAAGCAGAATTCCTGGGAGACTACTTGAATTCCAAATTTTGCTGAGATTTTTACTCGTGGTACAGAGGCACAAAATCCCAAGAGGGACCTGAACCCTCCACACTGTCCTGATGTCAAGCTGGTCCATCGATGACTTCAGGGCCTAGAATTGCATTTGAGATAGGATTTAATTGACCCAAATATTAGGGCCCTTTCCCATTGACTAATTTCTAGAGCTGGGCACAACAACTCTCTCTAAGTATAGTTTGCCCAGAAATTGCATATTAAAAGCAATTCTGGAGAAACAAGTCTACAACAGAGTCCAGAACTATTTATATTTGGGCTTAGAAGGAGTTTTTATTTCTGTCTTGGAGCTTGGATAGCAATGTTTGTGTGAGCCTCACTGCCTGAAGATAACATAGGACTCCATAGGTAGGACTTAAGGCCATTGATTTTTAAACAGGAGTCCCTGGGTAGTACAAACGATTAAGTGCTCGACTACTAGCCAAAAGGTTGGTGGTTTGAGCCCACTCAGAGGCACCTCAGAAGACAGGCCTGGTAATCTGCTTCCAAAAGGTCACAGCCTTGAAAACCCTATGGAGCAGTTCTGCTCTGCACACATGACGTCGCCATGAGTCAGAATCGACTCACAACAACAGCTTTTAAACAGACTGGCATGATAAATGAGGTATTTTACACAATTCAGATTGGAGAGAAGCTGGAATTGGATCAGCTCTCTGTCAGTTCCCCAACGAACAACCTGCTTCTCCTGGCTGTGACCAGGAGTCCACTTAAGTCCTCAGGGTTAAGAGGAAGTCTAGGGTCTGAACATGGACTCTCCACCCTGGGTCGGCTATTCTGGAAATAGCCACTGGGGCAGTTTCCAAACTAGGGCATCAGTTCACAAGGCAGAGAGCTGGTGAGACATGTATGTTTTGACAGCAAGTCCAAATTGCATATCTGTTCCTGTGGGGGATGGGCAGGAGCCTGGCTTAAGTTCCACTGAGTATTTTTGTGGATGAGGTATTTAGGATTCAGGGAGAGGAAGGCCAGGCGTGGCTGACGGGTGGTAAGGCAGGGAGAAGACCTGGCACCAGGTAAGCAGGCCTCCTGCCCCTGGGAACTTGGGTTCAGTACCCGTACTGAAACCAGTAAGCAGCTGCCACAGAACTCAAGACCTTTTTTTTTCTTTTGCAAGGGGTAGCTTATCTTGTAATGGGACAGAGCTTCCATGTGTGGTGGGTTAAGAAGGCACAGTAATCAGGACTAGGAGGATTCAAAGGTGCGGGTCGACAACCCTATATTCTCCTGCTTCTGTAGTAACTAAGGCCTCTTGGAGTTTCAGGTAACCCAGAGAAGACAAAACCAGTTTAGTTCTCAGAATATTAGGAGGCTATGTTAACCTTAAAGAAACCTTGGTGGCGCAGTAGTTAAGTGCTCAGCTGCTAACCGAAAGGTCAGCAGTTCAAACCCACCAGCTGCTCCACAGGAGAAAGATGTGGCAGTTTGCTTCTGTAAAGATATATAGCCTTGGAAACCCTATGGGGCAGTTCTGCTGTGTCCTACAAGGTCGCCATAAGTTGGAATTGACTCAATGGCAACGGGTTTGGATGTTAACCTTCAATGCTTGAGGAAGCAGGCTATGTACCTCTCAGGTGTGACTCAGAGGGGTATATTTGGGTCAAAGCTTATATAACTGGATAAAGAATGATCATTTATAAATATGAAACCACAAACCCCACAGTGGCAGGGCAACTATCAGCACAGGTAGGGTAGGAGAAACAAGCTTGTAAATGTCTTCTTGCCTCCTGTTTTGTCTTAGATGTCTCATTTTATTTTCTTCTTGAAAAAACTTGACATCTGTGAAACCCAGCACCTGCTCATTAGCAAGAAAGTGTCCAGATGGATCTAGACTTTTCTCAACACCCGAGGATATTTTTTAGATCTCTCCCCTAAATTGAACATCAACAAACTAGATAAGTACCAAAATCGTATAAATTTTGCATGTCAGTCATGCAGAGGAATAGTAAAAATGAAGTGTTTTAAAGCAAAAGAAAGTGTGAATTATCAGGGCTGTGACATTTCAGAAGCAGATTGCCAGGCCTTTCTTCCAAGGTGCCCCTGGGTGGATTTGAACTGCGAACCTTTCAGCTAGTAGCCAAGTGCTTAACAATTTGTGCCACCCAGGGGCTCCTTTTGGGGCATCTCGTTTGTGTTAATTTCATTTAAATGAATTGGCATAGTTTTTTTTTCCCTAATCAGGGGAATAATATAAATAGCACAAAAATAACTGTTACTATAAGATTTGGGGCTAATCTGTGAATCTATTTGTGTGCAGGGTGGGGAGAAAGAGAGGTGAAATGGGAGCAGTTCTTTAACAAAAATTTTAAGAACTCTATCAAAAAGTCTAAACACCCTTTCAAATAATTTCCCAAGTTGTAGAAACTTCAGGTACTGCATCCAGTTAATGGATTGGCAAGATGCAAAATAATAGACTGTGAAGAGAAATAATATAAGGTAAAGACTTATGAATAACTGAGTTCCGCAACATCTGCTTTTGTTTTTCTAGATCAGGAAGTGTGCTGCACCACTGGAATGAAATCTATTACTTTGTGGAGCAGTTGGCTCATAAATTCATCAGGTGAGAAACACAGTTTACTTGTTTCGCTTCTAGCTCTCTGTATGAGTAAAAGCAGATCGTGTTTGCTCTTCTGCTAATTACTAGCTACTTTGGGGATTTTTTTTTTTTTTTTTTTTGACAAAAGTGGACTCTCAGAACTTGGACCAGAAACTATTTACTTTGTTTTACTTTTTGCCACGTATTAGAGGAAATTTTGGCCTTATGTTTTCAGGAGGAGCCAGGTTTGGTTATAAAGCCAAAATTGTAACTTTCGCCTTCCCTTGTTGAAGAATATGTTCTTGTAAAAGGATCATTTTAACATGTTTCTTTCACAGTGTGTCACTGTGGGGCGATTGGCACATTCTAGCTGGACTATGTGCAAGGTGACCAACTTGCCCCGGTTTGCCCAGGTCTTTCCTGGTTTTAGCATGGACAGTCCCATGTCCTGGGAAATTCCTCAGTTCCAGAGAAGCCAGGACTTTTGTCCATGACTATCCTGATTCTGGCACTGCAAGTCTCGCACCCCAGGGACCTCCTCAGTCCTGAGTAAACCGGACAGTTGGTCACCTTAGCTTTGTGACATATCTGGTACAATGGACACCCATTAGTAAGGGAAAGGAAGTCATTTCACCCTCCCTGTGTGAAACTGCTAAGGGATAGCATGGCTGTGACAGCCTTCATGATGTGCTTGGAGCAAACCATTGATGTCTTTAGTAAAATTGGTCTGATCATCACACATTCTAACGCAGCTCCACTCCTTATTGGACGGCCTCCATAGAGTCTTTCAGACAATATGAGTAACCATGAACTTCTGCTTTGAATAAGGTTCCTTATCTCAGAATACAGGTTGTCCTCTGGCTCAGAGTAATGATAAATGTGTTCCCTTCAAATTCAGTTACTGGTCTGAACACATACCTGCTGGCCTGATTGGAGGGAAGGGTCAGAGGACGTCCTCTCTGCAAAACCAAAACTTGGAAGCTTCAGCAGGAAGCAACTGTACTCAGATATTGGAGAAAACAGACGCTGAGGAGTGAGGGAAGATAAAATACCTAGAAAGGAGAGGAACAAACATATGAGTGGTATTAAAAAAATACTTAAGAGAATCGTAGAAACTTAGAATTGAAAGGAACGACTTCCGAGCCTAAGAGGCATTCACTAACCCTCAATTTGAATTGCTCTGCTGAGAAACTACTGCTTTTTGAGGCAAACAGTTTAATTGTTGGACAGCTCCAGTTTTCAGAAAAGTCTTTCGCCTTTGATCCAGAATGTCTTTTCCTGCACTCTTGTCCATTGGTGTTTTGGAGTGATGTAAAACTCTGCCTCTAGATGCTTGACAATGTCTGCTATGTCTCCACATGCTCTTCATGTCTTGATTTCCCTCCAAAGCAGGGAAATCTAGTGGAAAAGTCTTTGAAGTTGGGCAGATGTGGGTTTGAATCCAAGCTCCATTGTGCAACCATAGGCAATTTAGTTGCCTTGGCTGAACCTGCGTTTACACGTAAGGATTATAAGAGAAAACATGTGTAAAACAAATAGCCCAGTGTCTGGCTTAGAGTAGACACTTAGCAATTCTTCCCAGTTCCTTCAGTAATTCCAGACCCTACACTAGCTGGTTGGAGGTGAAAGAAAACTAAGAGAACACCTAGTCCAAACTCCTCATTTTATAGATGAACAAACTAAAGACGAGAGAAGGTGGGGCCAAGATGGCGGAGTAGTCAGATGCTTCCTGTGGTCCCTCTTACAACAAAGACCCAAAAAAACAAGTGACAATTATATATGACAATATATATATGACAATCTAGGAGCCCTGAACATCAAAGGCAAAGTTGAGGAATCAGACTGAGTGGCAGGGGGAGGGAGAGATGGTTCAGAAGTAGTGAGGAGTTACCAGACCTGACCCGGTGGGAACCGGCACCCTGCAGGCTGGATCGGCTGGTGTGCACGGTCATGCAAGCAGTGACACTCGGGACAGATTTTCCACATCAGGAGAGACCGAGCAGCACAGAGTCTACTCAAGCCTCCAGAACCAGTGAAAAGCAGCTATCAACTGGCAAAAGATAAGTACATACGTCTAACCTACCACGCAGATCAAAAAACACCCCAGTTGGGAAGAACCTCTCTCCCATTTACCCACCCTCTCCCTGCTCTGCACCAGGTCCCTGGGCTGGCTTCAGTGATTGCTGCTTCCCTGGGCCGGAAGTAGGACTTGTCATGCGCCCTGAGCCATTCTCCCGGCCTTGGAGAGGGAACAAATTAACACATAGGAAAATATAATCTGCCAGCTCCCCTAAGCCGGGAACTCAGGGTAGGCACAGCTCCTTTGCCTAAGCACAGACATAAGGGGTCCATGGAATTTGAATGGCTTTTACCCCTGCATAGACCAGTGTGGGCCCATTTCAACAGCGTACGCCCTCATTTGCACAGGGTATATACCTGAAGTTTAACTTCAGCTGTATCAGCTATATGATGGAGTGGTAGGTTCATGACATTTGACACCACTCTGCCCATTAAGCAAGGTCCTCACTTACCTGCATCAGGGGCCTGAGGAATGATGGCTCCACCCACGCCACTTAGCCGCCCGTGACAGGGGTCCAAGAATAAGTAGTGCCTCCCAGTCCTTACAGCCAACAGCAATGGGTGCCCATAGTCCAGCTGCAAAACCCACCCACCTATGTGCTCTAGGGAACAGGAACACGCTTTCCTCCCAGAAACTCAGGGGCAGCCGTCAGCCCCCTGCCTTGCTCAGTGTGTGACCCCTTACTGCAGCCAGATACCTGTGTCTACTCCAATCACCCCTGCTCAAATAGGACTGTAGGTGAGAGCCGGGACCACACACTTGGTGACTGACTACCTGGACACCTGACCTGAATCCATACAAGAAAAGTAAAACGGACTCCTGGGCTCAAATACTTAGTAACAGATCTAACCACCAGGTGAAAGGACATCAGAGCTTCAAAGGTGCCAATAATCAAACTAGCTCACATGAGCAGCCTATTTGGGCATATCAAAACAAAACAAAACAAGAAGCTAGGACACAGTAAGCAAACATAAAATAAATAAATATAATAACTCGGACACAACAGTCAGTATCAAATCACATAAACAGGCAGACCATGATGGCTTCAGCAAGCTCCCAAAACAAAGAATCAAGAAATCTTCCAGAGGAAGAGAACTTCTTGGAATTACCGGGGGTAGAATACAATAGACTAATATGCAGAACTCTTCAAGATATCAGGAAGGAGATCAGGCAAAATGCAGAACAAGCCAAGAAACACACAGACAAAGCAATAGAGGAACGTAAGAAGATTATAGAAGAACAGAATGACAAATTTAACAGGCTGCAAGAATGCATAGAGAGACAGCAAACAGAAATCCAGAAGATTAACAATAAAATTTCAGAATTAGACAACACAGTAGAGAGTCATAGGAGCAGAATTGAGGCAATGCAAGTCAGAATTAGTGAGATTGAAGATGAAGCACTTGACCCCAACTTATCTGAGGAAAAATCAGATAAAAGAATTTTAAATAATGAAGAACCCTAAGAATTATGTGGGACTCTATTGTGAGGAATAACATACTAGTGATTGGAGTACCAGAACAGGGAGGGATAATAGAAAATACAGAGAGAATTGTTGAAGATTTGTTGGCAGAAAACTTCCCTGATATCATGGAAGTTGAGAAGATACCTATCCAAGATGCTTATCTAACCCCACATAAGGTAGATCCCAAAAGAAAGTCACCAAGGCATATTATAATCAAACTTGCCAATACTAAAGATAAAGAGAAAATTTTAAGAGAGGCTAAGGATAAATGAAAACTCATCTACCAAGGAGAGTCAAAAAGACTAAGCTCGGACTACTCAGCAGAAACCATGCAGGCAAGAAGGTAATGGGATGACATATATAAAGCCTTGAAGAAAAAAAATTGCCAGCCAAGAATTATACATCCAGCAAAACTGTCTCTCAAATATGATGGCAAAATTAGGGCATTTCCAGATAAACATAAGTTTAGGGAATTTCAAAAACTGAACCAAAATTACAGGAAATACTAAAGGGAGTCCTTCGGTTAGAAAATCAATAATATCAGATAACAACCCAGACTAGAACACAGGACAGAGCAATCAGGTATTAACCCAGACAGGGAAGTCACAAAAATAAATCAAAGCTAAAACACTGAAAATAGGGAAACAGAGATGTCAATATGTAAAAGATGACAATATTAAAACAAAAGAGAGAGACTAAAAAATGTAGTCATAGATCTTTCATATGGAGAGAAAGTCAAGGCAATATATAGAAATAAAAGATTGGTTAAAACTTAATAAAATAGGGGTAAATATTAAGGTAACCACAAAGGAAACTAACAGTCCTACACATCAAAATAAAAAACAAGAAAAACATAAAAACTCAGCAAATACAAAACCAACAACAATGAAGGAGATGAAAAGAAAATACATAAAGAAAAACGACTCAGCACAGAAAATTAAGTGGAACAAAGAAACCGTCAACAACACACACAAAAAAAAGACAACAAAATGACAACACTAAACACATACCTATCAATAATTACGCTGACTGTAAATAGACTAAATGTACCAATAGACAGAGAGTGGCAAAATGGATTAAAAAAACCACGATCTGTCTATATGCTGCCTGCAAGAGACACATCTTAGACTTAAAGACACAAACAAACTAAAACTCAAAGGATGGAAAAAAATATATCAAGCAAACAACACTCAAAAAAGAGCAGGAGTGGCAACATTAATCTCTGATGAAATAGACTTTAACATAAAATCCACCACAAAGGATAAGGAAGGACACTATATAATGATTAAAGGGTCAATCCACCAGTAGGACATAACCATAATAAATATTTGCGCACCCAACGACAGGGCTCCAAAACACATAAAACAAACTCTAACAGCATTGAAAAGAGAGATAGATAGCTCCACGATAATAGTAGATTTCAACACGCCACTTTCTGTGAAAGACAGAACATCCAGAAAGAGGCTCAGTAAAGACATGGAAGATCTAAATTCCATAATCAACCAACTTGATCTCATAAACATATTCAGAACACTTCATCCAACAGCAGCCAAGTATACTTTTCTTCCAATGCACATGGAACATTCTCCAAAATAGACCACATATCAGGCCATAAAGCAAGCCTTAACAGAATCCAAAGCATTGAAATATTACAAAGCGTCTTTTCTGACCATAAAGCCATAAAAGTAGATATCAATAACATAAAAAGCAAGGAAAAAAATCAAACACATGGAAACTGAACAACACCTTGCTCAAAAACTACTGGGTTATAGAAGAACTTAAGGATGGAATAAAGAAATTCACAGAATCAAATGAGAATGAAAACACATCCTATCAGAACCTTTGGGACACAGCAAAAGCAGTGCTCAGAAGTCAATGTATAGCAATAAATGCGCACATCCAAAAAGAAGAAAGGGCCAAAATCAAAACATTAACACTACAACTCAAAGAAACATAAAGAGAGCAGCGGAAGACGCCCTTGGGCACAAGAAGAAAGCAAATAATAAAAATCAGAGCAGAATTAAATGAAATAGAAAACAGGAAAACAATTGAAAGAGTTAACAAGACCAAAGCTGGTTCTTTGAAAAGATCAACAAAATCGATAAATCATTGGCCAAACTGCAAAAGAAAAACAGGAAAGGAAGCAATGTGAAAAAAAAAAAAAATTAAACTTTAAATGAGTGAAGATTTAGTAGCAAAGGGAAAAGGAGGTTTAAAGGATTATGTTAAAAAAAAAAAAAAAAGAAGAAGAAGAAGAAGAAAGAAACCAAGGACCAGGGAGGTTGAAATGGCTTAATCCAGACCATAGGGCGCATTCCTCTGGTGGTCTCTTCTGGTCCTTGTTGTCTATGGGCATCCTCAGAGTGTAGCACCAACACATTACCATCATGTAAACTCCATGAGACAGGGGCTGTATTTTGTTGACTGCTGCAGCCCAAGTGCCCATAATAGTGCCTGACAATAGTACATGCTCAATCAATATTTCTGAATAAATAAATGGTTATTTATTCATTTTAATAAACAGTTCAGGTAGGTGATACTGCAGGGGGAAAGGAAGAGTGGTTGATGCCATACAAATATATCATTTTTAAGTTCAGTGGGATTCTTGAAATTTCAAGTCCTTTTGTTTGTCTTTATTCTGACTTCTTCTCATTTTCCTAATAGAGATTCTAATTCGTCACTACTTTCTTCAAGCTCCCAACCTCACACCCATGCCTCTTAGCAAAGGACCTCACCTCCTACTTCACCAAGAACTCGGAGAGTAGCAGGCAAGAGTGATTACTTCGAGTTCTCATCCAACTCCTAAAAGTTGCATGCATGACCTTGTCATCAGTTTTTGAGATCCAAGTGCCACCCCCAATTAAGGCCACCCTCTCTAATTTAGTCTCATTTTATCCCATTGTCTCCATTCTCCTCCAGGAATTTGTTTCTGTCTTATATTTTCCTCTGCCTTTCCCCTGGCTCCTTCCCCCACAGTCTGCAGACATAAACTAGTCACTCCTGCCCCTTGTCCCAAAAAAACAATGACAATGACTCTCCTTGATCATGTCTTTCTGTAGATACCACCCTATTTCTTTACTGATTTCTCACACAAGTGCCTTTAAAGATTCACTGTCTTCATATCATTACTTCTAATTCATTCCTTAACCTACTGCCATCTAACCTTCATCCTCACCCTCCATTGTCTTCATATCCTTACTTCTGATTCATTCCATAACCTACTGCCATCTGACCTTCATCCCCACCCTCCACCTTCCTGCTCGGCCCTTACGTGGTGTCCTAGTGGACAAATCCATTGAGCACCTTGCAGTCTTTATTCTACTGCAGAGAGTAGCTTCGTTTGATTCAGACTTGTCTCTTCTTGAGATTCTCTCCTTCGCTGGCTCTTGCGACGGCTAGCTCCTGCTTCTCCTTCCATCTCACTGACCTTAGCCAGTCCTGTAAATAAATGTGGGTGTTGATTCTGTATTAGGCTCACTTCCCTTCTCACTGTTGACACTTCTCTGAACATCAGTATGCTGATAAGTCCCAAATTCTGTCTCCAGCCCAGACTCATATATGCCTAGTTGCCTCGTGGAGACCTACATTTCCCACATTTCAAATTTTATTCTTCCCAGAGCTAAACTCAATTTAAGGGAGTATAATATAGTGGTTAAGGGCTCAAATTCTAGAATGAGAATGCTTGGTTTCAAGCCCCTGCCCACCAGTCTCCTACTAGGTGACCTTGGCAAAATTATCTTTCAGGGTCTCGATATTTTTCTGTGGAAAATAGGAATAATAGTAGTACTGACCTCATAAAGTTGAGTGAGATTGAGTGAGATATTATCTCATATTGAGTGAGATAATACATGTAAATCACTGAGAATAGCGTCTGGCACATAGTAAGTACTCAGTAAGATTGGCCATTATTATTCTCATCATTATGATTATCATGATTGTTATCATTATCATTTAAAACATGGTGTCCTGCTGCCACAGCACTGGTGAGGTGGTAGCAGGCAGCATGGTGTCATGGAAAGAGAAATGAGATCAGTTTCAAGAGATCAGAGCTCAGTTCACCAGCTATTGCTTGAGCTCTTGAGCTCCTACCAAGAATTAAACACCATGCTAAGGGTTTTCAAAGATGAGTCAAACACATGATAATGAATGTAGGTTTTATCCTGGAGGCAATAGGGGTTATAGCAGAGAAGTGACAAGATCTGATCTGTATTTGTATCTGTCTTACAATTTATATTTTGGCTGCAGTGTGAAGAATGAATTGGAGCAAGGAATGATGATAGGCAAAGACACCAGTTGGGAAACAATTGTAGTGGGCAGGAGATCAAGGACAAGGTCCTAAGCTAAGAGATGAAAACAAAAGGGGAGCAGGTTTGAGAAACATTTTGGGACTTGGGAATGATAAGTTTTGGAGCCAGATCAGGTGTGAGGGTTATTGCAATGTGAAGAAATAGGCTAATGCTATCAGGAATGAACCAGCTGCCCACCCAGAGAGAGCCCCACAAGATGGCATTCCACTGGTGAATCCACTACAGTCTGACAGTCCATCCTGCAGAGTGAGAAACATGTTTGGCTCTCAGCTGAGAGTTGTTCTGTCTCCTAGAGTGTGAACTTTATGTTGACAAATCTCCTGGACACTGATATATAAAAACCAGGCCAATTTATTCATTAATTATGATAAGTGTAAACACCAAGTGGAATAGATGATCTTGTGGCTGATCAGCACATTCTCTCCTTTGAGGATAATCTCCTCGGGAAGCCAAGTAAAAATTAAAAGTTGGTGGTGATCCTATTTTCCGAGCAAAGGAAGCTCATTACATGATCTTAATGGCTGATGGCATCACGCTGTAAATGCCTGAGACATTCTCTTCATTATACGATACACCAGTCTACCTATGGAGACACTGTCAAATTTTGTCTATCAGTATCCTCCTTTTTGTAGACACCATGCAGATGTTTCCACTCCTAGAGACACACTTCTTCAAACAGAGCACAGGACAGTGATGAATTTAAGCTTTCTTATTTGTAATCAACACTTACTGGCCAACGATGTCAAGTCAGAATCAGATTCCAGGAAGACAAAGCGGATCTTCTCTTTGGTCTACAGCTTTAAGTCTTCTGCTGGCTAAATACTTGAGACACCAGCTTTGAAGTCCTCCTTTCCATTCGAGATCCTCAGCTCTGGCAGCCATGATATAAAGAGAAGAACAAGTCAGAAGCCTGGAAAGGAATGCCATTCCACAATGTCATTCTGTCTGCTCTAATGGAGTTTCTTTTCCTTTCCAGCCCACAGCTAAGAATGTCCTTTATTGTCTTTTCTACTCGAGGAACAACATTAATGAAGCTAACAGAAGACAGGTAAGGATGCTCCCCATCCTTGTCATTAAAAAGTCCATCTCTTCCTGAATTTTTTTTTCATGAAAATATGCACAAAACATGGACCCATTCAACAATTTTTACATGTACAATTCAATGACAATGGTTACATACTACATATTGTGTCACTGTTCTTACTATCTCTGCCCATATTGTTTCACCACCATTAACTTAGACTCTCTGCCCCTTAAGGTTCTCATCTGTGCTCTAAAGTTACTGTTGTCAATTTCATGTCATATAGATAATTTTTTAAAACGGCACAATTCTCAAGGCAGATATTAATTGAACTGATCTGTTTAGTTTAAAGATGACTGTGGTATAGTTTCAGTTCAAGGTTTAAAAGTTGTTTTAGGCAATAGATTTGGGGATTCCTCCAGTCTCAGTGTATATAGTAAGTCTAGCTTTCATAAAAATTTAAGTTCTCTTTCACATTTTTCCTCCTTTTGATCAAGCTCCATCTATTGGTCCTTGATCAAAATGTTCAGTCCTGATAGCCGGGCACCATCATTTCTTCTGGTCTCATGGCAAAGGAGATAATAGTTCATGGAGAAAATTAGACCTGCAGTCCATTTCCTTCTCCAGTTTCTGGGTCTCCTTCGTCCTCTGTTGCTCCAGGTAAATAGAGACCAATAGTGTCTTGGGTGGCCATTCACAAGCTTTTAAGATGCCAGGCACTACTCACTGAGCTTCTTCCTGGGTAGTTTTGAGTTTTGTGCCTTGGTGCCAGCTTTGACCTGTCAGTCATTTAAATTTAATAGTTCCCTCTTTTAACTTAAGCCTTGAACTTTGTAAATTTGCCCATTTACTCTATGACAACTTTTGGTAGAAGTCCCTCATGTTGGTGAAATTTTGTAAATGACTAAATTAAGATAAATCTTACATTTGATTGGTGACAGCCTGTTAACTTGAAGAAAAATGTTAGCAACCAAAATTCTTGTGGGTTATATTTTCTTGTATTTAAATTAGATTTATTATATGGGTTAAAATTTCAGACATAAGTGCACTGTCAGAGAGATAAGAATGTGAAATAGTATCATGCATAATTACCAAGGAAGGAACTAGAAAGGAAGGGTTTATGGTACCATGAAATAAAAGGACATTTGAATCGGGTATGGAAAAATGTTCTTGACATAGAAGGATTAGTCCTTGCTTAACAAAAATATTATTTTGGGCTTCACGACATTTTACTTGCAGATGAAAACTAGCAATAACAGAGACTTGTCATTTATTCATAGGATGATATACTGGGGAGTGGAGATGGCATTTTTCCTACGTTAATGACACTTTGTCCACTATGTTTAAAAAGTGATATGGTCCACAAGCGCCCATGAGGGACACCTGTGGGGCTATGGGCATGGTTTTCTTTTAGTTTATCCTGGTTTAACTTTGCTGAGCTTCTAGAAGCTATAAATTTATGTCCTTCGTGAAATTTGAGGAGTTTATAGCCATTATTTTTCTTTTTTCTTTTTCTTGCACCAATCATTTCTTCTCTCCTTCTGGGACTCCAGCGACACAAATGTTAGATCTTTTGATACTTTTCCAAATGTCCCTGAAGTTCTGTTCATTTTTAAAACTTTTATTCCCTCTTCTTCAGATTAGATCATTTCTTTTGGTCTATGTTCGAGTTCATTAGCTCTTTCATCTGTCATCTCATTCTGCTGTTGAGATCATCCCCTGAGTTTTTTATTGCAAATTTTAAAAATTCAGTTTTTTAGTTCTAATATTTCCATTTGGTTCTTTTTAAAGTTTTTATTTCTCTACTGGGAACTTCTATCTTTTCATTCATTTCAAGTGTGTTTACCTTTACCTCATAAAGCCTAGTTATTATAGCCGCTATAAAGTCTTTTTCTGATAATTTTAATGTCTGAAGATTGGCATCTTAATTGTCTTTTCCATTGTTAACATTTTCTAAGTGTTTTGTCTGTCAAATAATTTTCTATTATATCCTGGTTATTTTGAATATTATGTTGTTTAGATTCTAGGACGTGTTCAGATCTCTGGAGAATGTTGATCTTTTTTTTTTTTTTTTTTTGCTTTAGTAGGCAATCACCCTGGTTAGATTCAGACCAGAAGTTCTATCTGTCCTTCTGTAGGTGGTGGTTTCAATGTTACTTCAGTTTTCAAAGCTTTTGCTGAGCTGCTTTGGGTCTGCCCTGCATATGTGCAGCTCAGTGATGAGTCTGGGATTTACACAGCTTCATATAAAGGTCCCCTTCTCTAGCTCTCTCCTCTCCAGGGGTCCCCACACACTACCTGGCCCACAGAGGCCCCCTTTTCAGGTCCTCTAGCAAGAAAAACGGGGTTTCTCGGAGTTTTGACCACCCACACCGCTGCCATGCAGTTCTCCACTGAGGCAAAGCCAGGAGTGACACAAGAGAATTAAAATGAGGACTCTTCCCACGTTCTTTGAACTACAGAAGCCCCCTTTCCCAGTTGCATGGGGGTTTTCTTGGAGTTTTAGATGAGCTCCAAGTCTATTGCCATGTGACCAGGGCCCACCTTAAGTTAAAGCCATGAGAGAAAAGAGGGGAAAAAAATTCCTGGAAACTCAAGCTTGTATGAGTCTCTTCGCCAGGTTTCGACTCTCCTCCCCAATCCACCTGCTTTGTTTATTTCTCAGAGTCCTCAGGTAGTTGCTTTTTTATTTTGTCGAGAGTTTTTTGTTGTAATCAGCAGGGGAGATAAGCAGTAGTGAGCTTACTCCATCTTGGCTGCTGTTACTTCAGTTTTACAGATAAAGACACTGAGGTATAGATAATTTAGATAATTTACTAAGGTCAAATAACTAGTAAATGGCAGAACCAGTATTCTGATTCTGAATTCTGGGTTCTGCCCAACTCATGTGCTTTGCATTATGTTGTGTTGTTGTTTCAAGATTACTTAGCATCATCAGTTTGCCAAACAATTAACTGTAACAAATTTTACAGGTCACTTCATCAGCGTGATAGAGTGCCTGATGTTAATTTAAATACTATTAGAATAAATTATTTCAGTGTTAGCTATGGTTCCCTGCAAACTCCAAGGATAGTCTTATTCCTGACCTTAATTGAAACACTTCAAATATTTCATCATTTGGAAATGACATCATGTCAAAGAAGGCCAGCTAGTTCTTTAAAAGAGATCAAGAGTAGGAGTAGATGTTCAATTTAATCAAATAGATTTTTGGTATCTATTAAGACAGTCGTATTTTTTTCTTTGATCTGCTAATCCACCGAATGCATTAAAAACATTTTTTTAATATTCAATTATTCTTGAATTTTTAGTCACACTTATGTTATATTATTCTTTCAGTGTAGATCTGAATTGCTGAACTCTATGTTCTATATTTTATTCATAAATTTAGCATTGATATTCATAATTGTATTTGGGCTACCATTGTCCTTTTTATGACTACTTTTACTTAGAATTTTTTTTTGGGGGGTGCAAATATCTGTTTATTGTTTTAGCAAGTGGGCTTGTAAAATAAAGAGGGATATAAGGCAGTAAATGGGGAGTGCTGCAATACTGAAAGATGGTGGAAAGATGTATATAATACTTATTGAAGCTACTTAATTCACTGTAATTGCTTTTTGAGAAGAAAAATAGTCCATGATTGATAAATTTTAAGACCTCACTGTTAATATTTTTTTAATTGTGCTTTAAGTGAAAGTTTATAGTTTAAGTCAGTTTCTCATACAAAAATTTATACACACTTTGCTATGTGACCCTAGCTGCTCTCCCTATAATGTGATAGCACACTCCTCCTTTCCACCCCGGATTTCCCGTGTCCGTTCAACCAGCTCCTGTCCTTTTTTACCTTCTCATCTTGCCTCTGGATAGGAGTTGCCCATTTAGTCTCATGTATCTACTTGAGCTAACAAGCACTTTCTTCACGAGTATCAGTTTATGTCCCATAGTCCAGTCTAATCTTTGTCTGAAGTGTTGGCTTCGGGAACGGTTTTAGTTTCGGGCTAACAGAGAGTCCGGTGGCCATGTCTTCCAAGGTCCCTCCAATCTCAGTCAGACCATTAAGTCTGGTTGTTTTACTAGAATTTGAGTGCTGCACCCCACTTTTCTCCTGTTCCATCAGGGACTGTCTGTTGTGTTCCCTGTCAGGGTGGTCATTGGTGGTAGCCGGGCAGCATCTAGTTCTTCTGGTCTCAGGCTGATGGATTCTCTGGTTTATGTGGCCCTTTCTGTCTCTTGGGCTAATATTTTCCTTATGTCTTTTGTGTTCTTCATTCTCCTTTGCTCCAGGTGGATTGGGACCAATTGATGTATCTTAGATAGCCACTCGCTAGCTTTTAAGACCTCAGACACCACTTCCCAAAGTGGGATGCAGAATATTTTCATAATAAATTTTGTTATGCCAATTGACCTAGAAGTCCCCTGAAACCATGGTCCCCAGACCTCCGCCCCTGCTACTCTGTCCCTCAAAGTGTTAGTTGTATTCAGAAAACTTTTTAGCTTTTGGTTTAGTCCAGTTGTGCTGACCTCCCCTGTAGTGTGTATTTTCCTTCTTTTAACCTAAGATAATTCTTGTCTACTCTCTAGTTAGTGAATACCCTTCTCCCTCCCTCCCCACCCTCATAACCATCAAAAAATGTTTTCTTCTGTGTTTAAACCTTTTCTTGAGTTCTTATAATAGTGGTCTCATACAATATTTGTCCTTTTTCAACTGACTAATTTCACTCAGCATAATGCCTTCCAGATTTATCCATGTTATAAGATGTTTCACAGATTCATCATTGTTCTTTATTGTATAGTATTCCATTGTGTGAATATACCATAATTTGTTTATCCATTCATCTGTTGATGGGCACCTAGGTTGTTTTCATCCTTTTACTATCATGAACAGTGCTTCAATGAACATGGGTGTGCGTAAATCTATTCGTGTGATGGCTCTTATTTCTCTAGGATATATTCCAAGGAGTGAGATTGCTGGATTGTATGGTACTTCTATTTCTAGCTTTTTAAGGAAGCGCCAAATCAATTTCCAAACT